GTCGCCAGTGAGTCTGGACCCTAACAAGAAACTTACCCTTCCGCCCAAGCGCCCCTCCGCGCAGCGCCCCGACGTTGTTCCATCGTTCCTGCTGAGAGAAGGAGGTTGATAGTAACAGAGTACGGAGAATGCGAGAAGAGAGAAGGAGAACGCGGCGGGGCGAGCGGGGATGCGCGTTGGCTGGGTGGAAGCCGGGATGCGAGTTTCGGTCTACGAAGGGTGGAGATCGGAATTGTGGGGGACTTGGTGGTGTCCAGGGTGGCAGCCACGATGGCATTACCTAAGGGTCTGCTGTGGAAGGAAGCCGGAGGAAAATAGAAGGGAGGGGGAGAGAGGGAGACGGAGATGGGGCGAGCGAAAGAGAGGCCGACAAAAAGAGACGTCGGCAGAAAGAGAGAGAAAGAGTGAGGGAGAAGGACGGTCAGGTTGGAAGGAGGGACTTCTTGCAAAAAGACACTAGAGGACAAAGGGGTATAAGACCGACCGGACGGGCGACTCGGGTTCGAAACGAACAAAGGAAACGTTTAATCTCAACGTGTTACCTCGAAGAAACCACCGCTCAGTCATCTAGCATTGTACTTGGTTGATCCCATTGTCCTTATTTCTTACATTCTGGAAATTAGTTATGTAGTGTGTGAGGAAGACAACGAACCTCGCGGAACGATACTGTCCGAAAACTAAGATCCGTTGAAAAATTTTATATCTGTGTGTTTGCGCGCGCGATTGAATCTCTCCCTCGGCACATTTATGAAATTAATCATAAGGTTAAACCGTCAATGAACGACGTGTCACATGATTGTTGAACATTTTCCGCATCGAAGGAAGTCGTATGGATTGCGCGTAATACCTAAGTGCGCAATCTATCCGAATAAAACATGAGATTAAACATAAACTTTTGTTGGACTAAACATAAAGTCCGGGTTTTCTATAGAAATATATGTATTTGCAAAAATTCAATATACATTTTTTTTTTTATCCTTTGTCTCTTACCATTTGATTTTTTAACTTTTTTGTACTTTTATTTAATTTATTTAAAAAATTTTGCAGAAATAATTTAAATCGAATAAAGATCGTAATAATGATTTTCTCATCATAATTGCAACAGCCAAAATTATTTATATTAATGTACATAAAATTGTTAGTATTGTTAGAATCTTAAAGAAATTAATTTCACTAAATAAGTGAAGAAAAAGTGTATCTTGTTCACAATGAGAAAATGATGTACCATTGCAGGATATAGAAAACTTGCCAACGTGATTGAAATTCAGCTTTCTGTAAAGCTTGAATGATCGTTGGTCAAAAGTTCACGAAATATCTTTCTGTATCAGCCGTCGTTGTAGTGTTTTCAATTGCATATATTTTTCCTTTGCATTCTTCTGAATCATGAGTCGCTTTTTGCTTTTTGACAGAATAATTTTTAGAATCTCTAATTCACTCAGAATATCTATATTTATAAATAATCTAGGATACAAAGAATAGTTTGATTAGGAATTTCAAAGCAAATAAAATGATTCTAGCAATTCTAAGATAATTCTTCTAGAGATTTAATTTTGTTTTCAATCGAGATTTAATATGCGAGATTTAATGACATTAAGGTATTATCATATTACTTAAGCTAGCATTAAATGTGAAAATCGTTATTTCATCTTATTATCGGTTGGATATTGCTTACCGCTTCATTCATTTATTATATCTCTGTTTTAGAACATTCACTAGTCTATTTTTAAAAATAAGAAATATTCTTAGCTCCTATAGGATATATATATATATATAT